TAGCCGCATCGCTTCTTTGATCACAGCACCCATGTATGGCAGATGACTAGTGGATTCCTTATATGAGATAGGATCGCTGAGCTTTCCGCTTTAATTAGCTGTATCGATCTCTTCGATAACCATTCTCATATTTTCTGGATGTTTAATGAGGAAGTAAATAATTACTCTCAGAGCGATGGCGGTAGTATCTGAGCCGGCAAATATGTTAGTTGAGAGATATGTAATAACATCTCGGGTACTCATTTTAAGCAGATCACTTTTCTTTACTGCAGCCCACTTTAAAAGGAAGTCCCTGCTGCCGTCATCGTTAAGCTCCAGTTCACCGTCCCGTTGGATAGTTATGCGAGAATTAATAGCCTTTAGGGTGAAGGTTAACACTGCATTCCATGACTCTATAGCTGGAATTAAATACAGAAATAAGGGGTTACCCAGCAGAAATAGGTGCATCTCAGGGACCTGTCCACACATAGCCGCATAGAAGAGGATACCCTTAATAGTCTCCATCATGCCGTCAATATCTATGCCAGTCTCTAAAAACCCTAGCTTCTATGCGAATGTTACTTCACTAATGACGTTAAAAGCGTAATACTAAAGCCACGCGCCTAGATTAATGGGTTTATCTGTCGTGGCCTATTCGTCGAGACGTAAAGTGAAGAGTTCAGTGCAGGAGTCTATCGCCTCTTTGGATCCGAGAAGACTGGTCAGGCTATATGCGTGCGCGACCTTCTTCTTCTATTCCCGGTAGTAAACAGGGTCTCGTGTTAAAAAGAGGTTTATTTGCGGTTTCTTGTTCTAAGAAATACTTTGAATAGGGTAGAATGCTGACTGGAGAGTCGATGTCAGTATAAGCATGTAGCTAGAGAGGTTAATTCGCCAACCTTGGTGAATGCGCCAGTCAATCCATAGATGGTTCTGATGGCTGCAGGATCACCAATAGATATAATGTTAGGTGCAATTCGAACAAGCGGGCCGTGCTTTTTGTGTAGTCTTATAGCCGTCTGATGAGATTGACCCAGGCTTGTCAATAAATAAATCCAAATCAAATTGACCCTAGTTGGATTTGATTTGGATACGGACGACTCGATTTGAATTTGATTTGAATTCATTTGGGCACATTTGAATTTATTTGGATCTATTTGGATATTTCAATGGCCCCACTCTTCTCCCACGATGAAATGCGCCTGGCCATCCCGCTGACGGGTAACAGGCTCGATACGATGCGCCTTCTGTGCCGCTGATATGCTGGATAGTGTACGTGGTCTATTGACGCGTTTGCAGAAACTGCGTTCCGACGGGGGAGTTTAATTTCGCGTCGCGAATGACTAATTCTCTTTCAGCCAATAGCATTCTGTATTTAGCGTGGAGATAGATCTCAATTCCCCTAGCTCAGCACGTCCTGTGCCCCAGTAGGGGACTTTTCGGGGCCGATGGCCCCCCGGACGAAAAATA